TATTAATATTGTAGGGAGAAATTCTGTCTGGGTCACTCGTGGCAGTTAAAAGGTTAACAACTTCTTCAATAAAATCCTTATGTTATCCAACAAATAGGTAACAAGAATACTCAAATTTATAAACATGCATGATTACTTACTGAGTAATCATAACCACTAAATACTTAATGAATAACAAACATTCACATAATTAAATTACAAACTAGTTTAACCTTTTAACTCCCAAGATCTGATTGTTAATCCTCCCCTGTAGCTGCTACACATTTCCTTGTGAATTAGTTATGAGAACTTGGTGCTAGATCAAGATAGCAGCTTCTACCTGATAAGTTTTAATATTCTCTTTACCTGTTTGCTGGAGAATGTATGGATATTGTAGGTAGAAGTTTTATGTGAATCACCACCGGGAGTTAAAGGGTTAAAAACTTCCATTAATTTTTTTCACCCTTTAACTTCTATAAGTAATTAAGAAGTAACTTCTCCCCATAATATCCTTGTTATCCAACATCTGACTACTTCTTCAACTTCTTCCTTTGGCAGCCAGTTCTTTTTTTCCCTTTTTCTTTTCCCCTTTGGCATTGATTTCCTTTATTTCTTCTTTTTCTACCTTTTCTCCTTCCTCACCTTCCATGCTGGCATCTTCTCTTCTACATTCTCCATCTTTATCTACTCTTGCGTCTTTTTTCTCTTCGCTCTTTTGCTTCTTCTTTTCTCTTTTTCTCTTCCTTTCCTTTTTCTTCTTTTTTTCCATTCTTCTTTCCTTTTCATAATGGTCTTGGTGGTCTTCATCTGTCAGTAAAAGTGATGATGGTTTAATCCCTTTAACAATCAACTCAGGCATTGGTAATGGATTTTACCACCACGTCATTATTGAGGTGATGCAATAAAGAGCATTTTAAGTCTTCTAAGATAATAATTTTGTTCACAAGTTTTGCTAGAAAACCTACCATAAACCTCATAAAGACAATTCTTACCCTCGACTGTTGTTTGCAGGATTTCCTGTTTGCCTAGTGGCACATTTCCCTTGAAGCAAACCTGCAAAGAAATGAAGGGAAGGGAAGTATGCTGCACAAAATGGATAACATGGTGATGAATAATTCAGCTTATAAGCAAATTCATCTGTACAGCATACCTCCCTCAAACATTTCCACTAGAGTAGATACCATTTGCATTGTCTTGCATGTTAATGTTAATGTTATTGTTAGCTTTTATAACAGTGTTACGCAAGTCAATGCCAATGTGTCATCTTCCATAGGGAATGGTGTATCAAAATTACTCTAGGGAAATTCCCTGCCACTCAAAACAAACATACTTAATAAATCCCTTTCTTCTTAAATTTTCATACCTACCATGCAGCTCATTCAAGTATCTCTGGGAGCACTTGATAATAATTGCGTTGAAGGAATTTTTCCCTGTCAAAGGGGAAAAGTCTGGGCAAACTCTCTGATTGTCTTGTCTCTACAAGAGCCTATTCATTCACCAGAAGGGGGAACATTCTTGCCAATCTTATAGTCAGGAGTGAAACAGTCTTTGTCAGTCTCACCCAGGTGTTACGGCACTAAGGCCTCATCCCTGGTCAAGAGAACAGTCTTGTCCATCTCCCCCAAGTGTCGCGGCACTAAGGCCTCGTCCCTGGTCAGGCGAACAGTCTTGTCAATCTCCCCCAAGTGTCGCGGCAGGTCGTCCCTGGTCGGCACTAAGGCCTCGTCCCTGGTCAGGAAGAACAGTCTTGTCCAAGTGTCGCGGCACTAAGGCCTCGTCCCTGGTCAGGAGAACAGTATTGTCAATCTCCCCCAAGTGTCGCGGCACTAAGGCCTCGTCCCTGGTCAGGAGAACAGTCTTGTCCATCTCCCCCAAGTGTCGCGGCACTAAGGCCTCGTCCCTGGTCAGGAGAACAGTCTTGTCCATCTCCCCCAAGTGTCGCGGCACTAGGGCCTCGTCCCTGGTCAGGAGAACAGTCCAGTCAGTCTCCCCCAAGTGTCGCGGCACTGAGGCCTCGTCCCTGGTCAGGAGAACAGTATTGTCCATCTCCCCCAAGTGTCGCGGCACTGAGGCCTCGTCCCTGGTCAGGAGAAGAACAGTCCAGTCAGTCTCCCCCAAGTGTCGCGGCACTAAGGCCTCGTCCCTGGTCAGGAGAACAGTCTTGTCCATCTCCCCCAAGTGTCGCGGCACTGAGGCCTCGTCCCTGGTCAGGAGAAGAACGGTCTTGTCAGTCTCCCCCAAGTGTCACGGCACTAAGGCCTCATCCCTGGTCAGGAGAATAGTCTTGTCCCTATCCCCCAACAAGTGTCGTGGCAGTAAGGCATTATCCCTGGTCGGGAAACCGGCCTTGTCAGTCTCCCTTGAGTGTGTTGTGGTTTAGGAGAGAAACAATAGTCATTTGTCAAGTGTAAGGTTTTGTTTGTCTGCCTAAGTTGTTGGATTTGCAAGATTTCCCTTTCCAGGAGAAAATGACAAATCAATTTTTAATTGTGAGGATTTATTTAAATGTTGTCAGGTGATGCTTATCTTGTTCCAGCATGTAATCAATAATAAATTCCAACCTAAGCCCTTAAATGCAGTCAGGTAATGCTTATCTTGTTCCAGCATGTAATTAATAATAAATTCCAAACTAAGCTCTTAATTGAGAACACAGTGTAAAACCAAAAAAGATTCCCTACCTGGTCATCTAGGAGAGCCTTGGCTTCCTCTGGATCCTAAATAGATTTGTGAAGATGTAATTGATATGTTACTGCTGAAATGATTGTTTCGTCTATTAAACCATCTAGCAAAACACCATTTGAAGTATAGGCACTAATTGAATATCGTGTACTGTAATTGAAATTGCGGAGAATACATATTATTCCTAAGTAAAACGTTCGTTTCCTCAGATTGCTCATGCCCAAATTTTCTTCTTTTCTCGTGAAGTTGCAAAGCATCTCGAAGTTGTCGAGCCATGTTACATAATGTGTGGAATATATGAAGTAAGATATGCGTTGTGCCGTATACATGACAAAGAAGATGAAAGATAACTGCTTTTCACAGCTACAATAACAGTAGTGGCCATTACTGGAGTTTTGTTGTGTCTTTACGGACGCTAACAGCCTTTGAAACGTTTGATAAATAACTTCGTGACGGTTCTGTACCGTGGAAAGAGGTGTAAGATCGCCCAGCACCAATCAAGAATTTCGGAATTTTTTACTCTGATAAATCGAAAAAGACAAGGTACGTTGTTTTAACTGAAGTAAAATTAAAGAACTTAATTAAATCAACGGGTTTATTTATTTTTCTTAAAGGTTTTGGCGGCTGCAATAATATTTTATTGTCTTATGATGTTATTTCAGTAACAAAGAGGGGAGAATTTGAACCCTACTGGGACTCCTGTTGTGTAAGAAAAAATCAACATAATAGATACAACTTTATGTACGTACCCTCTCGCAGATATCTAGCACCTCCTTGCCCAGAAGGGGATCTTGGTGTTTGACCACGTGCTTTTGTCTCTGCAGAGTAAAATTTAGGGGCACATTCTGTTGTGACCCTGCCCAGTCATACACCTCCTGTTAAGAGATAAATTTCTTTCAAAAATGTCTCTAATGCGAATTGTAACTAGGAAAAATACAAAATAGCATGCAGTGGGCGGGTGCTCCTTTCATTTGGAAAGTGGGTTGCCTTTTAAACTAGAATTAGGGGTCTGGAGCAGCTTTTTTCTTGTCATGTATTGAGGGTACTTCAAATATTCAGTTAAACTGTAAATCAATATAATTCAGTTTTGTTTCCTCTGATCAGGAAGTATTTGTCAATGAAAAGAGGAGATTGATATTTCTAAGTAAGTGACCATGTACATATATAAAATATCTAAATATCTTGAATAAAATGTATTATTGTAAATCCCTAGAAGAGAGAGATGGAAACATTGTGTTTATCATTCCAATAATTGATCATAAATGTATTCATATTAACCACTCATACACAAGTTACTGTAAATACCTGGAAAAGAGCAGTTGCTTTGAATTTGCGTTTCAGTCGGGTACTGCCATACCGTAGGATTATTGTAATGCCCTCTTTGTCCTCAGGCAGTACCCGCTGACCCCTTACCTCTCTTAACTATGAAATTAAAAGGGAAAAACATTTCTTATGTTTTGTTCTGCTGAACTTCGTTGACTTCATTCCAAGTAGAGAGGAGGGGGAATTAAAACACCAAAGAGGTCTGTTGGCCAGAAAATAACTGCAGCAATTATCTAGTAATTTTGAGAGGTTACCTTTACAAGCATTGCTGGAGCTATCTATGGAGTCGTTCTTTTGATTCCAATATTCTCTATTCATAGTGATGTAAACTTTTTACCTAATGTTATAGAAAGATTTTTTTCTTTCTTTTATCTCCTGGTTGGTCTTGTAGTATGTAGGCAATATTGGAAATTATTGTTTTTAAAAAATGAAAAGTTTTGCTCCTACTCATCACCAAAGACACTAGCATGACATTAAATATTTGATGAACACTCCAGGACATACTTCTCTATGTTCATTGGCCTGGTTTTTCTGTTGACATAAACTTATACTTTTATCATTCATCAATGTCAAAACTTTATGAATTGGCTTTAGTGGAACGCAACATATTGTAAGGATATGTTAGAGACATTTTAGAGGTATGTAATATTATACTATTCACCTCCATATCCATCTTAGTGGTTTGATCCTCCTTTTTATTGCTGACAGAAAAATATAGAACAATTTGCCTCAGTTAGGTACACTTTGAAACCTGGACTGTAAAAGTGGTACATGTAGCATGTTTTTTCTGAAAGTAAGTTAGGTGCTACAAGCAAATTTGGGCCACTGTTTGATTTAATATGGTTCTCTATGACTCGTATATGAGTCATGACAAGTGTCTACTTTATGGGATTAATAATAAAGGAATTTTGTTGAGCTGATTATCTTACCATTTCTTCTTTAAATTCAGAAGGGCCAATTGGCCCTGCTGAATGCAATCTTCAATGTCACCCATGTTGATGTTGGCAAGGGTCTGGCCTAAACAAAACAAGTTATGAACTTTCAAGGAAGAGTGTCTTTCAACATTGCAACTTTTGGTGTTGGCAAGGAAGGTAATCTCAACTACTGCAAAAGATGTTTCCTCTTTTTCCTTGCCAATATCTTGTGTATCATTTTCATCCTTCTGTCAAGTGCATATTGTATTTTCATTGTGATTGCATGATTGAAAGGGTAAGTGCTGTACTGTGTATGTTTGAAAAGTGCAGATTACAGAAAATGGTAAATAATGTATGTATGAAGGTTACTCTAAAATATGAAAACCTACCTGAAAAACGTTCAACCAGGACTGGCCTGCCAGAGGTTGGTGCCAGGAAAAAAATCTGACTCTCGTCATTATTTAGGCCAAACTTTGATATCACTGAAAAAAGAAAGATTTTTACGAAACTCTCTATGATAAAATAGTAGTATCCATCTGCAATTGATGTAAACTACTTGAACAATAAATAACTTGAGAGAAAAATTTTTTAATCAGCTTTGAATGGTAAATCTTTGAGTGAAGTTGTTGGTGATAATATATCAAAACATAGTATACTCGCCACAATGAACAACACCAACTCTTTTTACAGTATATCATTATTGTAGTTCTATTTTATTACATTTACCATAGTATCCAATTTTAAAATGTTTTAACGATGACAACTTTCCAGTAAAACACAATGTAGTTATGTGCAGCTGAGTGCTGCAGAGGGCATCCATTATCTGTAAGGTCTATAATTACTGAAGGGAACCTTTTTTACCTGTCATACTTTTATCATGTTTGTGTGTAAATGTATGGACAATGATCAGATGAAAGCTGACTAAACGGAGAATTTTTCTGGCTTTCTTCTTGAATTGCTATACTGCTTAATTCTCTTCAGTGTACACCATCTATACCAAGAATCAGCTTTGGGATAATTGATTTACCTCTTCTCCCACTTGCACTCTCCATACATGCCATCCAGTAGTACAGATCAACTGATAATGTTTGGAGCATGCTACAAATTCTGCAGATAGTTAAAAATAGAAACAAAACTGATTACTTTTAAGGATTTGTTGACAAATGGGAATTATTCTCACTTTGATAACCTGAGTATGGAATTTGATATAAGTTGGAAAATTGTAAAACATGTGCATACTCTAGTTGTTGGAGTGTTGTGTCATGTCATGTTTAGTAACATAATGCTATGACTTCTGGAAATGGCTGATATATGACCTGTCTCAGTTTCTGACCAGGAATCCCTTAGCCTTTATTTGAATTTCTAGTACTAGGCAATGAAATTTGAACTTCAAGGTAATGCTGTCTTAATAACTACACTGTAGCTGTACAGGCACAAGATCCTAATTTTATAACAACAAACAGCAAGCAGCTAACCTTCGCACAGGATCAAAATTATCGCCCAGTTTTATGATAATTAGTGTAAACATTTTAAAATCTCTCTTTGCCTGGTAGCATATCTGCAAAAAAGCAAGCAAGAGAAGCATTTAATTGAGGAAAATTTGGTTTTTTCAGAGAAATCTACTTTTCCAGTTCTTTAACAGAATTGAAATGTGTTTGGAAGGAGAGTTTGATTTGAAATTTCTTTGTAATGATAGTGGTCCTTGTTGCAAATGCTATTAAGAATGCAGAGGAAGGGGTTGTTGCTGGACAATTTATTTTTGGGTATTCTTTGGGGTGTTTTGATTGGGTAGGAGCTTAATGGAAACCTGTTGAAAGCCAAATCACTAAAATTTAAGTCCTATTTCTTCTTTTCCCTCCCTCAGTGAAAGGGAAATTGAAGCATTACTTAGAGCTTTATGTAGTTTCACTCAAATACCTTGTATGCTTAGAGTAGGGAGCCCCTATAACCACATTAGTCGCAACTCTAACATGCACACTAGGTTTTGTAGTTATGGTGTAGCACTTTTCTGTAGCCACATGCAAAGGAAGTGGACAAAAATGTACATGTATGGAACCTTCCACACATATCTTTGCATTTTTCGCATATGTTTAGCACACTAGTTAGACACAGACTTCCATGTATAGTGGAGCTATAATATTCAATACTAGCCTCTTCAAAGGTGAGATTTAAGAAGACAGGTAAGGACTCCAGCACAGCATAGTTTTGGTAAAGTTCCCTCTCACATAGAAGTACCTCCTCCACCCTGTCCAGTCTCCCTAATGCCACTAGGGAAGCAAATAACCAACACAATTGAATTTGTTAAGTGGTACACATGAAAGAAAGACATTAAGCTTCAGTGGTCTTAAATTCCTTTATGAATACTTTGACTCAACTCTACAACTACAGTGTGCAAAGAAAGTTATGTATGATAGCCCAGGAACAGTGGATTTTCTGATTAGGCTAGTGAATTCTTACTCTCACTTGCCCAATGGATAGGCAGATTTTTTCAAGATTCATTCAAATCACATCATTTTGGGCCAGTAAAAATCACTCAAGGGCCAGTACCATGCTAGTCATGGCTTGCCCTTCAGGGCAAGTAGTAAAGCCCACTCTCTTTACAATCTGAACTACATGAAAAAAAATGAAGCCTGGCAAACTACTGTAAAACCTGTGTTGAAGCATGCATCCTGTGTATCCAATCTACCTTTACAATTAATGGTACCTTTTCCGAGGTTTTGACGAACAGCTCCCACTGGGCTTAAGTCTTCTCGAAGGACACCAACTACATTTGAATGTTTTCCCATTAGAACATTGAATTTGACCATGATTGATGTATTGTACTGTAAATAATTGTCACCATAAAGCCAGTGCAGCAATCAGTGATAGTAAAGATGATATACCAATAAAAATTAAAATATTTATACTAATCCACAAATAAAGTCTGGTTAATATGGCACACATATATAATGATGGTACAATTTATCTCCAATCATAATCTTCGCAATTAATCATAACCAATCAATGGCAAGATATCACAGTTTTTACCTGTTTGAAAGGCATCTGTTCTGACTGAAAGAATAAGTGGGAAGAATGTTAAAATTGTAAATTTTCTTTGAACGTAAAGAATTAAAAACAAATAATGACAACAACCCAGACGAGTGGGTTGTTGTATCAACTGGTAATACCTTGGGGTTGATCATCTGCAAGCCATAACATTTCAGGTAAATCATCATCTGTTGAAATGTATGAACATCAGCACAAATGAAAATTGCAATGGACAGTTTAACAAGGAAACAACTTCAACCATTACAGGTTGTTTAGTTTGATGTGATGTTTCGGTAAGGGATGTTTAAACAAGTTCTTGGTATCAGACCATGAGCATAATAGTTTTCATAAATCATTCATGACCTGGAATATGTTAGACAATTAAATTTAAGAAGCTGCAGCCTCAAAATGTTTACACCCACTTACCATCATGCATGGATTGCTGCAGTTGGTCATAATCTCTCATGATAATAAACATAAATATTGTTAAGGTGTATGCTGGATATCACTAATTAAAGAACTGCAATTCAAATCAATTGCACTTGTATTTCTTCAGTACTGTTATTTTTTTTGTCCTTCGTAGTGTGTGTATGGAAAAAATATTCCTTACCTCCAATTTCTGAAGTGGATGATGTGGTGTTGGGGTGAGCCAATGGAGGAGCAAAGCTGGGCCGGGATGAATGAGGAGCGGGGTTAGGTTGGGCTAGTGGAGGATTGGGGTTAGGTTGGGTAAGTGGAATAGTGGGGTTGGGTTGGGCTAGTGGAGGGGTGTGGTTAGTTTGGGCTGGTGGATGGGTGGGGTTAGGTTGGGCTGGTGGAGGAGTTGGGTTCGTTGGGGCTAGTGGAGGATTGGAGTTAGGTTGGGAAAGTGGAGTGGCAGGGTTAGGTTGGGCTAGTGGAGGAGTGGGGCTACTTTGGGCCAGTGGAAGGGTGGAGTCAGGTTGGGCTAGTTGGGCTAGTGGAGGGGTGGGGTTAGTTTGGGCTAGTGAAGGAATGGGGTTAGGTTGGGTCGATGAAGGTACTGGAGTTGATACTGTGGATGTCGAGGTATGTGAGGCTGAAATCAAGAATGAGATTCTTGTCACGAGGGGTCAATCACATATTGCAACTGAGGGACATTTTTCTTGACATAATTGTGAATTTCTGACTGATTGCCTTCAACATGGTCGTTGATTGCTTCGATAGTTTACCTAAATAGGAACATGTTTTCTTTGAAAGTTTTAATTTTTTTAGACAATGAGAGAGTTTAGAACAGTGCACAAATGTAACTTGCTAAAAATTCACAGCAGCAAGAAAACATCTGTACTGGTTTGCCAAGGGGCGTTTGTCTATTGGTAACCAGTGAAATATTTTGAGAGTTGGGATATAAAATGTAGATGGGTTTCAAACTCTATAAGTTGCCAACTTTGAGGATAGATGTCAACAGTAAGGAACTATAGCATGTGATGAAAAAAAATTTTTGGAAATGGGGAAGAGACAGCTTCCATGGCATGAAGTGGAGGACATGAGACCAAAAAGGTTCAGCGGAATGAAGAGGACTGAGAAAGAAAGACATCATGCTAATAGTTTGTTGTAATAAAAGTTAAGTCACTTACCTGGATTTGGAAGCCACAGGAAAATTTTCTTTTTCCTTGATCCTCCGAATAATTCCAGTAGCTTCACACCATCTTGGAGGCCAGTCGCAACCTTCGACATGGCATGCCCTCTACAGTATGATGCGAATAACTCTAACCTAGAGTAAGGAAATATTAGGTATTAGTATCACCAATCATAACAATTCATTATATTGTAATTTTGAATTGATTTCCCTCATTTTACTGGAAATTTTCTTAAAACATGGCACTTGCAGAAATTACATATAGGTGGCATTTGTTAGAGAAAGGTAAAGACACTAGAACATACTGTAATCATAGGGGCCAATATTCTTAAAAGACCAGTGTGAAATTTACATTTTATCTGGAAGGGTAACAAATAACTGGATAAATTTTTTTTTTCCTCCTGGAAAAGTTTGGTTTTCACTCTTCCAACCTCTTCATCAAAGTTTATGATAACAGTATTAAAAAGCAAGTTAAGAATGACTGGTTATTTTCAATGATTGTGCAAGCATTGAAATAGCTGAGTAAGCGCGTCTACTATTTAGCAGAGTACATCCGGCGTTCCAAGGTATCACAGAAGGAAAATTAGCGCATGAGCGGAAACAGCATACAAACTAATGACTTGGGTTACATAATTTACTTTTAAAATTTTTATCATTAAGCGGAAAGGGAGCTTTTAAACGCCTGAACTGTTGACAAGATTAGTTTATTTGACGTTCGTTTTTCATTGAGAACGTGGTCAACACATCGAATTCGAAAAGAGTTTCTGCCAACTGTGCGGTTACGCTCCGAACTAGAGCTTTTGAGCGAAGTGTTAGGGAACCTTTTTTTGGGGGACGTTATCTCCAAATTTCATGAAAATACATCGAAAGTCAGCCAAAAATGAAATCTTTAGAGTTTAAATCTCAAGCCAAAAGTGATTATGCGAGAAAAAGCGACGTCTCATCAATCCCGCACGTGCCTTCTACTCACAAATTATTTTCTGCTTTGTGTCTACCGAAGTGAATGAGGCACCAAATTATAACTTTAGAGGTTGACAGATTTTTAGTTTTTCTGTTTTATAGACAACCAAACGAAATTTCCGAAAAGACAAAAAGATTTATTAGGTTCATTAGAAATTAGATGGACAAGTAGAGTCCAATTCCACTTGAACAATTTAAATCGACTGAATTCAATTTTTTGTCGTATGGGAAATGTAGGACAATTATCAGTAAGTATCATCAACTCGACAGAAACTTCATATAGCGAATTTGTCCGAAGTAACTTACACCTTGAAGCGAACTGGTTCAGAAGAAGCGAGTGACAAGAGAAACAAGACTTACCCACCGAGGTCTTTTCCAACTAAAGAAGGAAAAGCACCGCAAAGAAGATCGCCTATCTGAGAAGCGGTGTGGTTTTTTGTAAAGGCAATGTCCATCACCCGCCTGGCATTTATAAGCCGACTCATTTCTGCGTTCACAGGAACAGCAGTCCTCTTCTTTTCCAATAACACCACGGTCCTCTGAAAAGCACGCTTGCTGTAGCTCATAATGTAGCTTTACAGTGAATGTTACTAAAGCACGAAAACACAATGTAAGGACTGCAGCTGCACGCGCCTACTGAATCGTTGAAAGAACCCCACCGAACAAGAAAACTGAAGCCCTTTATCGACCGGTTGATCAATAACCAACTATTCATAAACAATTTTCTCACCTTCAAGTTTACACGAATCAACAACGAAACTGTGAAATAAATCAAATCTTGACGCGGCGGATTTCAGTCATAGAAAAGGCGGATAGAGGACACCCCTAAAACAAAAACACTCGCTTAAATTACGGCAAATGGGGAACGAAATCCAGTGTAAATCTGTTACTAATATGTAAGTTGAGACGACGCGCGATCACACCTATATTCGACAACTCAAAATAAATGATAACGAACAGACATAATAAATACTGACCAATCTGTATTTTAAGTCCATCTTGGTAGATGTAAAAAAGAAAGGAAACATTTAAGCGTCCTAGCAGTCGTTAATTCCCAAACGATCGAGCACGAAAGCAAACTCCACCACCCACTCCGAGTGAACGCTAACCACGTCACAGCGATGACTCCCGAGGTGTGCAAGGGCGTTAATACGTATTAATGTGAAATATGTTTCACCAAACCAGAACAAGGCTGGAGCTGTTTCTATTAGTAGTAGTGTTTTATCAGAATTCTTTCAACACGAATATAACATGGCTTTACGTCAGTATACGGCCTTAGAGCAAGGTCCTGTATTGAATGTTATCCATTAGCTTCAGAACAGGAATCTTCTCGCCAATCCACTTCGCTGCGCACAGTGTAATAACGCAATGGATGTAAAAGAAAGAAACGATGACCACGTGGAAGGTTTTCACTGGCGAGCCAACAAGACTTCGCTTTAAATATACTATTTAGAACAGAACGGATTGAAGAAGTAACTTTATTAGCTGAAGTGACATTGGAATAGGCAGTCGTTTCAGGGTAAACTATTGCGACAACAGTACGAGCAAACAATGAGCAAACACCTCGAAACAAGTAAAAATTCGCGGATTCAGTAATACATGTTAACGCTTACTGGTGATAACTTTCTTATCGTGCGCGTGGAAAAGTGTTTCGATTTTTTCATTTGCAGTCAATCCCAGAAACTGCACATTTTTTCCACTGATCTAGTTATTGAGTTTATAGCAGGCGGGATTGAAATAAATTTACTGGCATTTTCATACAAAAAAGCCACGGGGAGGGGGAGATGAGAGATCACGCTCTTACAATTAGCTACAAAGAAAAAACTAATTTTTCGTGCCTGTGTCTGCTAAACTTTTCCAGAGCGGACGTTCTCCTTTTTCCAGTTTTCGTTGAGCACGCGGCACACCAAAGAGAAAGTGCAATTTTTTTTAATCCAAAAGCTAACTAGGTCCTCCTGGTAAGTATGGCTCATTTCAAACAAATCAAATTCTGAGGAATACCAGGCTAGCAATTTTTACCACGGTGAGCCCGCATTTTGCAAAAACTATTGCCAAATTTTATTTATCTGTCGACTCAAAGTTGGAGCAAGGAATAATTTCGATGTGGTTAAATAAAACTAACCATGGCCCTTGGTTTCTAGCCAAAACAATGGAACAAAAACATGTCCACAACTCCTTCGAAAAGCATCTTGTTGATTTTTTTTTGTTTTTGTTTTTGCTTTTGATATGCGCAAAATTTTTTGAGACTATTTTACCACGTAACGTCCACGGTATTAACCGAGTATGGGATACACGAACCGATCTCTGTGCAGGGGTTGCCGTTATGTGACCTCGGTTTGGTGTTGTTACATAACGGTGCTCGGTTTGTAGATAACGTATGCGGTAATAACCGACCTAAGAATACCGTTCATGGCCCTGCTCGGTTTAAGAATCTTTTTATAACCCACCTCGGTATATAGCGGAGTTCTGTTGGGTGGCTTCTGACTGCTCCCCCTCCCCCCCAAAAAAAACCCTCCATGTAGCGGCTTTCATTGTTTTTCTAACTGTTTCCATTTTCTTTAATGGTATTCACCCTAATTTTTCTTTTCTTTTTTACTTCGTCTGCAAATAGAGGGGATGCTACTGATATGTTGGTCTTGCCTTATTATTCTGATTTCAGTAACGCGAATCTAGATTATGTTTTAAAATAACTTTATTCATATGTCTTGACCTATTTCAAGTTATATTGTACTATTTGTAAGTCCATATAGCAAATTGGACTGTTAAACTTATTGCACCTACATACCAGAGCAAAAAATAACATTGCAACTAGTATAGTTAAAAAAATTTAAACTTGTTCCTCTTAGGGTGGAAAAAGTTTTAAGGTAAGTCAATAAATCAAGTCCTTGGTACCTTTAAGGGGCTATCTATTTTTTTTCTGCTATGCAGTTGATTTACGGTTAAAGTACCGGATTATCGGTTGGAAATTGTAGCGGCAAAATGGCAAGGAAATTGCGCATAATCACTCCGTAGCTGCCCCCTCTCCATTGCCGCCACATTCTCTCGTCCAGGTAGGATTGAAGATCTCCTCTGCGCAGCCCCTTTCTTCTTTTCTGCCCCAGTTTTAACTGACTCCAAGCGGACTCCACCTCTTGTGTGTGCACGCCTGTTTGTGGATCCACAAAATTGTGCGCGTGCACAACAACTCGGTGCCTGTTGACATTGGGCAAAAGTTGGAGTCTTCGATATGCGGCCCAATCATCGCTGTGCACCTCTGTGCCTGGCAAAAGGCATCTTTGAATGATGGGCAGAAGGGTTGCCGCATTCCTTCTGTCCACTACTTGGAAATAGCCTCTTGCGGGACTATTCGCACAAGAGACTATACCAAACACCCACGAGTCACGAGCAGCCCTCCTTCCCCTGTTGTACTGAAAAGATATTAAAAATGTGACTCAAGATTTTTTTCTTATTAGGGCGACATTGCAAAAGGCAGCATGGTCAATTAGGCAGAAAAGAGCACCATAGCTTTCATTTTTTATGCACTCCTATTAGTAAACTGTGAAATATATTTGTTGTGGGACTTCATCTTCGCGAGTGGTTAAGTGTATAGACCATAAAAAAGATGTAACTTGTAACGAAAATAAGGCCACTTTCGGAAATATGTCAACTGGAATATTTGGCCTTCGACCGTAAAATCTGCGACCCTATTAGCTGTCATACATTTTCGTAATTTAGCTCTCATTGCAGTTTTGTGCGCGTGCACATCACAAACGTACTTCCTAGAGTATTCTCAGGAGTTTAATTTGATAGACCATTTTCTTATTCTCTGTATTGGACTGGCTTGAGATGAAGGCTCGTATGGGAGAGTATCATTCAAAAAAAGATAAAGTTTATAGAATTTGCGCGAAACTTTTCTCTTCTGAAAAATGAACTGGGATTCTGATATCCTTCAGTACCCCCTCTTCGATTTTCGCGATTTTGAGTTTCTGCTCAAGCAACATACAATCAGGAGCTGTATTTCGATTTAAAAAAAATTTGAGAAGTAGAATATGTTTTAAAACTTCAGGTCCCAGTTGTTCGAAGGCTGGTCAACCCTATCCACCGGATAAATTTCTATTCAGCGGATAAATGTTAAAATAAACCCCGCTATCCTTCGGATAAAGATCTATCCAGTGGATAGCGCCATCCACCTTTCAAGAAATCCGGACCAGATGCAAAGTAATACAGTTTAGAAGATAAACTCGTTCATTTTTGTATAACGTTTACCTTTGCTTTGTGATTAAATTTACTTTCATCACATTTCACCACAACACCCGGGCCACCAAATGGTATTATTGGACGCGTCTGCAGGTCCAGAGAGCACACATCTTGTAGGCGTCTGCATATTTGTGACACCAAACTTGCATTTAAATTCAGGGTTCGCAAAATTCTTCGTTGCGAGTCATCCTGAACGAAGTAGTAGATGATCTTAAGTAGCGTAAGAAGTGGCACCTTTGGAAATTCGGCGAAGAAACTGTTCGATCGTAAACTCCGCCTTTTTCTGCAACCACTGCATCGCCTGCAGAAAATAGATGTTAAGTGTTATCAAGGAAGAAGTTTTACGCTTACAAATCAAACGACAGAATCAGCAGAGTTCTCAAATTGGTATTAGTTTGGGAAGAACCGGTCAGACCCTAACATCTTTTCTGTGCGCAGGTTTTCGACATGAAATTTTTTTTCAGGTTTTGTTTTTTACGAAATTTTATTTCAACACACACGCATTCGGGATGTGCGTAATTTTTTTTCGAGCGAGAATTGAAGGTCACCATTACATTAACCAATAATTAGACTCGACTCATTCTTGCGTTGAAATAAGCAAACGACAACGCTTAACTTACCATAGAAATCCATCTACATGGTTACCAGTCCTCACTGTCAATTCCATTTCACAATTACACTGTGCGCATTGTAGAGGATTGGGTAGTAAATAGCATCTTTGAAGCCACTGTATCACATTCAATGGAGGTTCCCTTTCGAAGTCGTTAAGTTCACTCAAGTTCATGTTGTTGCGCTATCTTGCTCAATGCGATCTGGCTCCACTATTTGTGTTTCAGTTTTTATCCAGGCTAACACACGCCCACTTATAACCCTTATAACCCTTGTAGGGACCGAAGTAATGGTCCCAAAGGAACCAATCTCTTTTGACCGAATTCCACTTTGAACCCTACCCCACAGTCTATTAATTTGGTGATTTAACTTTTTAACTAATAACCAAAAAGGGCCTATGTTTTGCTCTTTTAACTTTTACCTGACTTCACCTTTTAAACCCTGCTGTGAAATAAAAAACTCATCGGCAACAACGCAAGAAGGTCGCGTTCTTAAATTAAAAAGACTTCTAACAGTTAAAACTAAAACAAAGAATGCGATCGAAACAAAAAGTCTCACCCCTTTGTTTTCCTTGCCTTTTGCGGCGTGTTAAAACTAAAACAAAATAACGCGATCGACGAAAAAAGTCTCACCTCTTTGTTTTCCTTGCCTTTTGCGGCGTGTACCGAAATAGTTTACATGATATATAACCGGCTAAATAAGTTCTCCTCCCTGGCAATTTATAGCTTGATTACTTGGCGAACTTCAGTCCTTTTAGGAGCGTCAAGATTTCAGCTCGGCTTCCATAATAAATATTCTAAAAAGTGGTGTTTGTGCTTGCATGACTAGAGTTTTCCGCATGGGCTGAACGTGAATTTTGAAATTCGCAGTGATCAGCTTTCGCGATCATCTTTTACCTCGCAATGCTTCTATGATCTTCTCTACCTTGTTTATTCGCAGTGATTTAAATCATTTTGATCATCTTTTTTTGTTTATTGCGAAGACAAAGTGCGGAAACCCTCCGCTTATTATACAAAGATGCGTCCTTTCCGGTACTGAAGGATTTTTTTTCGATCGGGGAGTCAATTTCGTATTTGCATTTTATTTTCGGTGAAGTTGAAGTTCTAGAGATTTTAGTGATGCACAGCTGACGTTGAGACGAAAGTTTTCAGATATCTGCTTCGATACGCACATGTCCGTTTCTTTTGAATTTGTGAGGGAGGGGGGAGGGGGGAGGTAGGTTTTTCTGAGGTTCTGGATACTTTAATAAGAGTGACATTAGGGTACCTAAATTTTATCAGCTAACAATGCAGTGCGTAAATTCACAGCTAAACTAAAAAAAAATAATAATAATATGTTGAAAGGAAACTATTCGTTCAAGTATTAGCAAGGCAATTTTATGGAGATGTGTGTTTTAGACTTTGTGCAATTTTCTATGCTTGATGTTTAATTTCCACTGTTGCAGAAGCGAAATAAAGTGGGCCTGTTCACGCCATACAACAAATTCTTATTTTCATGAGGCTATGACAGTGAATGCTGAGGAAATGATTGATCTGCGCGACATTGTACATCGTAAATCTATCCACACGGGGTTAGACTGTATTACAGACGGACCAATTGGTGGCAGATCCAGAAATCTCAGATAAAGAAGAGAGGAGAAATGTAAGCAGAGCGCAAGCGACTCTCCGCTTCCTACCCCCTCCACCAAACCAAATGAACGATTCCGCTCAAAAGGTAAATTTTGTCAAAAATACAATTCCCAACTATTTTTTCCCAGGGCGACTCTTGCTTGGTTAACACGATGTGGTTATTATATTGAGGTAAATGATCAGGTGTTGCCATACGGACCGTTTCCATAGAAACGGGCATAAGCAGTGTATTTTTTTTCCTTCTTAAGGCTCGAACGCCATAATAACTTTTAACTAACCGAGCAGGAGGACCCAACTGGGTATTATCATATGACCCGTACGGCCCCGCACGTTATTTCATGAGAAAACGTAAACATTCGTTTTAGGGCCGTACGTGGCGAAGTGATAGGCCGGAAAAACGCGTCGTAAAACTGGAAACGCATACGCCCCACAAAATCAATGCGATGTAAAATTTCTGACGTGAGAAATTTAAATTCTTAAAACATATTATCATGTCCTCGCTAGCTTTGAAACAGGAAAAACCAAATATATTTTTGAATTTTTCTCTTCACCATAGTTTTTAATATTATCTCTTCCCCTTGATAGTCTTATATCGAGCATGATCTGCACTTTCCCCTCCCCCCTCATCATGTTTTAAGTTACTTTGAAAAAATGGACAATTTGAATCTTACATGTAAATCTGGTGGTTAGAGTTGAACATTAAAAATTTGGTTGTTGCAAGCTTTAATTCAATGTATAATGTAAAAATTTTAGATCTAGATGTCTAAAAAGCTGGTGGTTGCAAGCTTAAGGACTAGGACCGCAAGAACCGTTCCAGGTGCTCAATTCCTTATTCTGCGTTTAAAACCTAGATTGAGTAACAAAGTTTAAAAGAATCGTCCAACTGGTTGCATGAGGAAACCATTCAATAATTGATTGTTCTATGTCCAAATGCTGTTTTAAAAAGTAGGATGTTTAAAAGGCGAGAGCTACGAGTTGTCCTGCGAGATATATCTCCTCTGTTTTCAAATAGTCTGGTGCATATGCAGTCACGCAATTTCAATCGGAACAACAAATTTTTCAACATCTCTTGGGTGGCGCTTAAAGTCTTATAAAATGCCAAAAAATAGTTATTAAAGCGGTCGACAAAGCCGGCGCTGTGGTCATTTGGCGGGCCAACCTCAACAAAAGAGAAGCGTCAACTTTTTGAAACCTATTTTTATGCAAAACTTTAAAAAAATCTCACCTACAGAGAACAAAAACTGTCCAAAGCATTGCGAACGGCCTTCTAGCAAAACAAAAACTGCCACAAATTTAATCATCACAAATCTTCAAACAGTACACATTTCTTTCTTTCTTTTAACCAAAAAATCACAAACCCAACAACCCTGGTCGACCCATCGTTTAATCCTGCAGTTGCCCCACCACACAGATCTCTACCTATTTATACTCCGGGAAAAGAGAAATCACATGGAGACATATCAGTCTGGCCTAAGCTATGTAACCTTTTTTTTAACTGAATGTAAAGCTTTGTCTCTGAGCAGATCTATAGGCTTCCTGACCATGAAAAACAAACTAAGGATATGGGGATGACGACGCTTGCATAACTTACACTCTGGTGGAAGTTTTGGGTGACAGAACCGCGCGAATGAGCGGCGAAGTAACGGAGAGAATGTGAAGGAATAAACTAACGCTCGGCCGCATAAATCTTCCTTGAACGAAAAAAAACATTCAGTCACGCAAGCTATAGACATACAGAAGTCCTTTTCAATTCAAGAAGTCATCATTTCAAACCCCCCTTCCCTCTACCACCCCCTCCCCCCTTATTCCTTTTCCCCTCCCCCCTTATTCCTTTTCCCCTCCCCCCCTTATTCCTTTTCCCCTCCCATACAAGGCACACGGCTGGAAATCATGTCCTCGCTAGCTTTGAAACAGGAAAAACCAAATATTTTTTTTAATTTTTCTCTTCACCATAGTTTTTAATATTGATAGTCTTATATCGAGCATGATCTGCACTTCCCCCCCCCCCCCTCCCCCTGCCAGAAAAATATATATCGAGCTCAGTTGCCCGGGAACAAATATTATTCAGCTCGGTCGGACGCGAGCTCGATTTGATTCGAGCGCGATTACCAAATCGAGCTCGATTTGATTCGAGCTCGATTACAAAGGTTGTGACTCGAGCTCGGGTAGGCTTTCGAGCTCGAGTCACTTATGTCGAGCTCGGTTGCTCAGGATCCTTCTAGTCGAGTTGTGACTCGAGCTCGGATAGGCTTTCGAGCTCGAGTCACCTATTTCGAGCTCGGTTGCCCAGAAACAAATATTGATCCACCATTCCTGCTCGATAAGCAAACGACGTTTGATAATCGAGCTCGATAACTACAAGTCGAGCTCGATTGCTAATCGAGTACGATTACTAATCGAGCTCGATTAGTAATCGAGCTCGATAACTAATCGAGCTCGATTAGTAATCGAGCTCGGTTACAGTACTAACGAGAAAGACTGGGAAAGAGTCAAACACTGATTGAGGAGGACGATGGCAGGTAGTGTTGTTGCAAGAACCTTGGTCATTAGGTGAGTATTTCGTAAGTTTTCGTTAAGTTTCAGAGATAGCATTCAAAGGGAAGGTGTAAAAGGAAGTGGGAGCAAATGTATTGGAAACAGAAATTTTCCCAAAGCACGAAAACCCCAGGTCAGGTGTAGTCATTTCGGGTATAGAAGGGTAAACTTAAACTTAAACTTCGCTGGAATGGGACTTAATACAGACAAGAACAAACTTTTGGTAATCCTTAGTTTATTGTAAAATGTAAAATTTTTATGGTTAACTACGCAGGGGAATACTTGTGTCACTTTTAGATAAACTTGTGTCACTTTTAGATGAACGTTCAGTGATATATGTATACTTTTTTAAAAACAAATAAAACAACTTCTGGTTTAGAGCAAGATTTTATAAACCATTCAACCACTGTGCAACGCAATTCCTTTCCTTCTTACCGAACTAACCAAAAGTAGCAACCTTTTAAAGCAAACTTGTATCTCGAAAACCTCGAGCTGGAGGTAATACTTCTGAGCAAAGTAATATGGGTACTAAACTGTGTTTTTCAAACTCTCATTCCTAATGACAAAACACTCAGCTGAATATTTAGGCTTGCAGCTTGGGAAAAGTACTTAATTGCTTGTAAACATGAGGATTTTTGTCTGTCACTGGATGTTCCTTTGGCCTTAGCGAGTTGCAAAATGTTGAGTTGTCTCACTATTAAAATGTAGCCTTGGTGACATCTAGCCCATCTACACTGACAACTAACAAGGAATTCTGAGGCATCCAGAATTAGATCTTTACGGCTTAAGAGGCCATCTCTCTTATTTCCACCCTGCCAATTTCACCTTAAACTCTGTCAACAGAAAGACTATACTTAGGAAAGAACTAAGTTAGATTTGGTTTGATTTGAAATAATTTTCTGGCTGCATTAGGGGCCATAATTATTTCACCAGTTGGTAGGGACTATCACAACTTCTCGGAAATTGAATAATATGCATATTTTGTAACATTGTAAAATATTTGATTTGCATA